ATTCTTACACCTATCTTTTTTGACCTGCGTTTCTACTTTTTTCTTATTAATATTATCAATCTTAATAATTATTATGTTGACTCTCCAAGTAATTTTAAAAACTTAACATATCTTTTATATTTTTCTAGTGTTCCCAAGCACTCGTGTTTATTTTTGTAAGTCATAGTCTATTTATAAATATTTTCTTTTCTTCCAGATACATTGTATGTACAATAAATTTTCTGAGACCTTGTATGCCTGGAGGCTTTTGTTTAGAATTCATGTATTTATATGATAGTGTAAAGCACTTTACTTACAGCAATTTGGGGGTATTACTTCATTTTAATCTTCCATTCAGTGTTGTGGTTATGAAACCAAATGTCGATCTTATATTCTTTCCTTTTATGTGAACTATTTTTGTTTTCTTTCTGGGAGATTGTCACTGATATTCTGAAATTTCACTGCCATGTGTTTAGTACAAGGTATTTCTTGTTTGTTTTTCCTTTCTAAATTTTTCTCAGCCATTCTTTTTAGTATGAGTTGTAGTAGACTCATTTTTGACTCGTGCACAGCCTCTGCCACATTTCAGCAGTAGCTGTCATAGAAGGTGCCCTCGTGTCCTGGCCACATCTCACTTCAGGTACCTATTTTGTCTCTCAGCTTTTCCACCATAGGGAAGTAGCTTATTCAGCTTGCCTAGAGCAGAAGAAGAGTTAAACACCAAAAAGGAGTTAAACACCAAAAAGCTACCCTTGTAGTCAGTGGATGCAGGTTCCAGGTTTCTGTCCTTATTAGAGACAAGTTGTATACATGTTCTGTGGAGGTCTTTAGAGTCCCCAACAAGAAGGAATCTCAGTTGCTCAATAAAAAGTCATTTTCTCTCTATACAGTTTCATTCAGGTCTTCACTTGTGCTTCCTGGGATCAGCTGCACGCAGGTGCTGATCTCAGGTGCTGTTTTGGCGGAAATGCACACTATAAGATTTATATTATATCTTTCTATACATCCAGAGGCCCTACTGGATATTATTCTATAAATACTCTCACCTTTCCATTCTCATTATTCTTTTCTTCCAAAGATCCTGTTTATGAGAAATTGTTCCTATTAATTTTATACTTCGTATTGATTATTTTTCTCATATTTTATTTCTAACAATCCTTTAAACATTTCTGGAAGAATTTCTCACCTTAATTTTTCAGCTCACTAATTTTCACTTTGCCAGTAGCTCATGAGAATTTTAATTAAAAAATGAGCTTTGAATAGCTGATGTAAGGCCTGACATAATATAATTTGTATTGTTAACATTATTTGAAAAATAATCATTTGTCAAAAAGAAAAATGATGTGATTAAATTTATTCTTTGTCAAAAAGATGATTAACGTGTCTCAATTTCTTAGATCACTTAGAAAAATTAGACATCCATAATTACCATAAATTTTTTTCATGTCTTCAATTATTACAGAGATTTCAGATTTTTTTCACATATTCCACTATGTGTTCTTCAAACACACAGACTCACATTTAAGCACATTATACACACCTATATGTACATACACTGAAGTTTTTTCCTAATAATGACAATTTTTTTGACTATTAAAAAAAGATTCCCAGGTTTTACAGTTGAATCATTTTTAGGTGAGATCCTAGTTAAAATTATACATAAATGCTTGAAGATATATACTTTAAAACAGTTAAGATACTTTAGTCATTTCTTGTAGTATATTATATTCTGTAATTTTGACTTTTTTCAAATATTCTACGTTTTTATGATGCTAATTTCAAAGAACTACATGGAACCATAATTGTACAATTCTCCTTTAAAGCTTTATAAAATTCATGAGAAGAGAAAGAGATGGAGAGTCACATAGATTTGCCCTGTAGCTTTTGAACAAAGTTACTTGTAAATACGTCTCCTTTTTTGAATCTGCAATTGATTATATTAGTTGCCTTAGCCATAACCTCTGGACTTCTATTACTATCTGAATTATGGTGATAATACTTACCTCTTTCACAGGGGTGGTGAGGAAAGGAATTAAATTCTTATTAATAAAATGAAGGAGAAAAATACAGTTAATAAAATCAAAATCATTTTATCTATTATATTTATTCTTTAGATATTCAAATAATTAAATAAACATCAAAATCTATAAAAGAACATTAAAATAAAATTTAGATATAATAATTAAAGTTGTATTATATGTTCATTCTGTGTTTTTCAGCTATAAGCACTTTTTTCACCAGGCAAGTTTCTATGTTCATTATTTATTGAAGCATTAACCTTAATTGTAAAAACTTTTACATTAAATTATTCCTATGTCATTTCACATTTATTAACCTTTGTATGTCTTAAAGGAAACAAAACATATCATTTATATGTTTGGAAATTTAAAAATGGCTTGAGATAGTAGGATATATTTCGGGCTCATTCTTTTCTATTCAAGATATATCTTCTATTGTCATCATAACTTCTTAACTTTAAATCATTCAAATATTCAAATAATTATATATTGTCTAAAAGTGGCAATATTTTGATTGGCTATCTCGATTCTAGAGGGAATGATTAAACATAAAATTTACTTTTAACTTACAGTATCATATCAGCTTATTACCCAAAATATAATTTCATTTTGAAACAATATTCATATTTAATTCTAATTGGCAATCCATCATAGAACATTGCACATAGTAGGAATACATACATATAATTTGAATAAGCAAATTAATTAGAGCTGATAAGAAATGTCATATCTTTGGTTATTTTGTAAACTAAGAGCATAAAAAATTCCTGTTGATTGATACAATTAATTGAAGTAGCTATTTTCATTTATATGATATCACTCTGACAATTTAGTGCTAGATAGCTATCTGTTCAATTGCACTTTTCTCTGTTACTTTCTTTTAATGCATTTCTGAATTGCAGATCATGCTATAATCTATTTCAATTCAATATAGATTTTGATGAAACATCTCAGTATCATGGACTTGGATATATTCATATTTTACTAAAAATTTTCAAGCACATGTTTTAACCCTTATACAAATCCTTGCTGAACTCACAACTCTACTATGTATAATGGCAATAAGATCAAGACTAAAATGATACAGCATATATTTACAGTTGTACTTAGAAAATTTGTAAAAATACATCTTGACATTGAATGTTACCAGCAAATTTTATGTAGGATGAACAAAGTATATTACATGTAACTATTTCTACTCCAAATCACTTTTTGCTCAGTCTTCATCCATAAAACCTGTGGTCATAAGGGCATCTTTATAATTCATATACTCAAGAGCTTTAGTTTAGCATTCATTTTAAAAATGAGATTCTACTTTCATTTAGGCTATTTTATACTTGGTCATATGAAGGCCAACTTTTGTACCATGGCAAAAGAAGGGATCAGATGGGATTTGAACTAAGCAACCTGGGATGCCCCAGTTTTCAACCTTTCTTTTTATCTACACAGATCTCACCATTCCACTAATTTAAATTCTCCATTCTGGTTTAAGTAAAGGTGAAAGTACAAGTTTAGCTAAAGGGAACTGTACTTAGTTTGGTATAGATTCACTTACACGGTATGTTAAATATGAAAAATGAATACAGCGATAATAATCACTTTGTTATTGCAAATTTTCTATGCAACTCAGGGAAATGCTTCAAAAAGAAGGATTCTCAAGGTAATTTCTATTGAAAATCTGCAAAAATAATCTTTCTTCTGCATTTTTAGGTTAAAAAATGAGTTTCAACTAAAATTATGCCCCACACAGGCATTTTCCCCCAGTTTGAAAAATGCACTTAATTATCTTTAGAATATTTCCTTTCAAATCCGCCCCCTGAGGTTCATCTACTTATTCTATACTTGTCACAGAAAGGTCAGGTCTCCATGGTGTTTGTGGGTACCTGGTTCCACTTAAAGAGTTTAAAAGTCAAAAAGAGAAAGAGGATGAAATACTACTTCTTTCTTATAAAATAACTCTTTTATAAAATTGATTTATTTCAAAATACAGATAATTTTCACTTACTGAATGCTCAAAATTTGAAATAAACATTTCCAACTGTGAAATTATATGCTATTAAATAATTAACAAGAGTACTCTACTGACTGTAAGAAACTTATTTAGGATGAATCACCCAAAAATCACTATGTTGAAAAATAACACAACATTATTTAATAAAATCCATTTTTACCCATGTCATACAATTACAAATCCAGGTCAGATTCCTACAGAGAATATTATATAATTATGCTACTATATCACCAGATTTTTTTTTAATTGAAAAACTAAAAGCTATTGAACTAAATAAGTTATAAATAAGTGTTGTCACTATTTAGGAAACTTTCTGTACCACTACACCAGTTAGCTTTATTGGCTGCTAGTTGTAGACATTAGAAAATGACTATGGTCATATATATGGCAAACAAATTTATAAATAAATGACGTGGCTCATGAAAACAATGAGAAGGCTGGAGAAACAGATTCAGAATCGCAGATTCTGAGATAGGAGGAAGTAGAGGTTAGGCAACGAGTGACAGTGTGGTTAGAATGCTTCCATTGTCATTGGCATTACTGTTATATTTGTCAGTGTCACACCTCTCCCCAATTCCAGCAGAGATGCCAGGAGAAACCTGATGTTGTTGTGTCTTTGTACCCCGCCTTCTGGTGTCATCACTGTGGGTGATGGCATTTTACTGGCTCTGCCTCCACCATTTGCTGGTGCCCCCGCTGAAAGGAGATGCCTGGATTTGAAGTTCATAGTATGGATTTTTCTAAACAAAAGTAGCCCTCACATGATGGTAAATGTCCTCTCCAGAACATTTTTCCCCCATAGTACACACATCAGGAGATTTAGCAATACTAAATTTCTGGTGAATTTAAATGGCAGAAGAGAACGACTGTGGGATCATTCCTTCACATCTTCATCACATTTGAAATTAAGTTATTTAATTTTGGTAGATAAGAAAAAAGAGGGTTCAAAGAGTTGCTTAACATTTAAATTCCTTTTCGTTGGTTTGTCTCAGCAGAATATCATTCCTGTCTGGACGGAACTTCTGGATTTTCTTCAGTGTCTCAGCAGTCTTGTGACTATGCCTGAGGAAATGAAACGAGTAACAGGTATGATCTAGCATCTATGCCTTCTTTTTGTCAACATGGTTTTTAATCATCTCTCTGTGTCCCTTACTTTTTAAAGCAATAGCTTTTAAGCAATAGCTTAATGACCGATGGCCCTTTTCAGAATATCAAAGTCTTGCTTATTTCTGTACCATTTACTTCTGAGGTTTCTTAACTCTCTACTTTTTTCCTAACCTTTAAATTCTATATGTAAGCAAGAGAAACGAGAGAGAGAGAGAGAGAGAGAGAGAGAGAGAGAGAGAGAGAGAGAAAGAGAGAGAGAGAGAGAAATTGGAAGCTTAAGCACCTAATATCACAAACTGACAGTGATTGGAATGACATTAATTTTTTCTAGCCTTTCCTAATGTTTTCTAAAGAAAGTTACCTTCATGGATTCTTAATAAATAAGAATTTTCTATTCAATAGTTAATACTTCATGAAATTGCCTAAATGTTTGTGCATGCATATTTTTCACTTTACATTAAATCATAAAAATAATATAGATTCATACTTTCAGCTTCTCAAACTGATTTTTAAAGTTTATCTATTGTAATTGTTATTTATATCAAATAGAATCTTGACAATGACATTAACTGTTCAAAGAAATAACTTCATCATTTCAGCAGTATCTGAATAACCTTTGGCAGAAAGTAATACACTCTACAATACTTTTTTTTTTAAGTTTTCTACCATATAGATTGAAATTTTATAAGAGCAACGGCTTATACCCCTGCAGAAATAGGCACCTATAGCTGAAATGCTGGAGAGCACTAGCAACTGCAAATAAAAATCTATTGACTTAGCTAACCTTTCAAGGACAAAAACTTTTCTATGACCTCTGGGGGAAAAAGAAAGAAAAGAAAAGTAAAGAAAAATTCTTTAGGAAAAGTATCAGAGTCCAGGAAAAGCTTTTTCTCCTCAGACCTTGGAGAAATATGTCATCTAGATTCAGAAGCAGAACAGAGATTCTTTTATACTGCAATAATATTAATAAATTCAGGTGGCTGGAAGATTAGACCAAGTTCTTCCCCAGTTCCATGTTCACCCTTTGCATGAGCAAGGACATCTTCAGCTGATTGTTAGATAGCAATATGTTTTAACCCTAAATATTCATCAGTCTTCTTTTAGGCATGAAAAATAGTTTTCTGAGTAAGATGGACTTTTACTGAAATAACTTTGTATGTGGAATACTGTTCAAGAAGATTAGGATCCTAATTTCTTTTACAAATATGAGCTTCTATATATTGTTTCCTCCAAAGGAGTGGAGTGAAAGTCCACTACCTTCTTGAATGTCCCAGTCAATTAGAACTCTCATTAAAAACAAAAACAAAAAACCTTTCTGTACCTCAGAGAATTGTCTGGAAAAATTTCTGTAATTTTCAAAAAATACCATGTATTTTCAGAATCATCATTCTCTTAGGTATATATTATTTGGGCAATAGTGATGTGATTTTCTTGATTTTCCTGAATGATGAATAGCATTTCTGTAGGTGATTAGTGGGAGGTGCTGTTTGAGATTATAAAAAAATTAGAGATGGAGAGAGAAAGAGAGAGAGCAAGTGAGTGTGTGAGCAAATAGGCACTTAGCCTTTAATGGGCAATTGTGGAAACCTAACTGCTATTGAGCAAGGAGTTACATTAAAAAAAAATTATGAAGCCTCCCTGGTATTGGCATTTGATTTGAACTGGATTGACAGTAAGTTTGGAAGCAAGGGAATAATTCAGCTATTACATTATTTCGGGTATTCCAGAGTAAGAACTTGAGATAGGGTGAAGACAATTAAGAAAATGACCAAAAAAAGAAGCATTAAAGAATTTCTTTAATCAAATTTAAAAATGATTAAATTTGGAGACAGGTGAGTATTGGTGATGAAAGAGAAGAACACGGAAAATATTATGAGCCCAGGTTGTTATCTAAGGTGTTATAGACAATGATTACCCAGTATGAAACACCAAGGAAAGTATCATATCATAGAGAGCAGAGTTCAGCAACTTTTTTCTCTAAATAGTCAATAAACATTAATATTTTAGGGTTTCCTAATGTGAACCCTGAGTTATCAATTACAGCTACTCAATTCTGCTGTTTTAGGATGAAGGCAGCCAGAGGAAATGAGTAAATAAATGGGTGCAACTGTGTTCCAATAACACTTTATTTACAAAAATGGAGGATGGGATGGATTTGGCCCACAAGCCCTAATTTGCTTACCTCTTCTATGTGGTTCCCAATTTTGAAATAAAAATGATCAAATGAAATGTTATGTTGCCTATAGAGACTTACCTGCTGCTCAAGCAAAAGAGAAACAAGTTTACAATGAACAGTTTAGAAATAAGATACAAAAGATATGTATATTTTTAAAAGAGTGGACACCTGAGGTCTAGCAATTAATCCAGATGGGGAGGGCCCAGTGCAATTCAAAAAATCATACCGAAAATACACCCCCTAGGAGATACACCAGCTCTCAAGAAATGGAGTCTGAACAAATTCAAAACACTAAAAAAACAGAAGAAGAATTCCAAAATTGGATTGTAAAAAAGCTCAATGATATGTAAGAAAAAATGGATAACCAACACAAAGAAACTACAAAGAAGATACAAGAACTGGAACAAAGATTCACTAAGGAGATCGAGATCTTGAAGAAGAATCAATCTGATAACCTGGAAATGAAGAATATATTCAGGGAAATTCAAAACACAGTGGAAAGCCTCAAATATAGGGTGGACCAAACAGAAGAAAGAATCTTCGAGGTTGAAGACAACTCATTCAAATCAAGTAAGTTAATCGGAGAGTTAGAGAAGAAAAATAAGAGACATGAGCAAAGCTTACAAGAACTGTGGGATTATATGAAGAAAAGTAACTTGCGGGTCCACTGGATTCCGGAGAAGGAGGAAGAAAAAACCCAAGGGTTGGATAAGCTTTTTGAAGAAATAATGGAGGAAAATTTTTCAGGACTAACCAGTAACCTAGAATTAGAAACACAAGAGGCCAAAAGGACTCCTGGGAGATACAATGCAAACAGGAAAACACCACAACATGTAGTCATCAGACTGACCAAAATATCAACAAAAGAGACCCTCCTACAAGCCGTAAGGTGAAAGAAGCAAGTTACATACAAAGGAAAACTGATCCGAATAACGCCCGATTTCTCAACTGAAACAATACAAGCAAGGAGAGACTGGGGTCCCACTCTCACTCTTTTGAAACAAAATAACACTCAGCCTATAATCTTGTACCCTGCAAAACTAAGATTTATATGTTACGGAGAAATTAAGACATTCTCAGATAAGCAAAGTCTCAGAGAATTCACCAAGACAAGACCAGCCCTACAAGAAGTACTCAAAACTGTGTTATGCATGAAACACCACAATAAAAACTCATGAATATAAAAACAACCAAAACCCAAAGATTAAAGGCCAGATATAACAATGGCTCAAGAGAGAAATCAAAGAAACAACATCCAACCCAACAAAATGAACAGTAATCTACCTTACCTATCAATTTTCTCAATAAATGTGAATGGCTTAAACTCTCCACTCAAGAGACATAGGCTGGCTGAATGGATAAGAAAATATAGGCCAAGTATTTCTTGTCTTCAGGAAACACATCTAACCTGCAAGGATGCATATAGACTAAAAGTAAAGGGATGGAGGTCAGTATTCCAAGCAAGTAGAAGCCAAAAGGCTGGTGTGGCAGTTCTAATCTTAGATGATTTAGTTTTTAAACCAACAAATGTAGTGAAAGAAAAAGATGGTCATTATATAATGGTGAAGGGCACAGTTCAACAAGAAGAGATAACAATTTTAAATATATATGCACCCAACTTAGGTGCACCCAGATTCATAAAGCAAACCTTACTGGAGCTAAGCAAATTGATTAACAGCAATGGAGATTTTAACACCTCAGTGATGCACAGGACGATCCTCCAAACAGAAATTAATAAAGAATAATGGACTTAAACAAAACTCTAGAACAATTGGGTCTGACTGACATTTACAGGAAATTCCACCTCAAATCCACTGAATAAATGTTCTTCTCATCAGCTCACGGGACATTCGCTATGATTGACCATATCCTAGGACACAAAGTAAGCCTCAAGAAATTTAAAAAAATAGAAGAAACACGTATCTCTCAGATCACAGTGGAATAAAGTAGAAATCAACCTAACAGAAACTCACACTTCTACACAAAACATGGAAATTAAACAAACCTCTTACTAAATGATTACTTCATCAATGAGAAATCAAGATGGAAATAAAAAATTCTATGAACAAAATGACAATGGAGAGACAAGTTATCAAATCCTCTGGACACAGCTAAAAGAGTTCTGAGAGGAAAGTTTATTTCCATAAATGCTATAACCAAAAGTCAAAAAGATCACAAATAGACATCTAATGAAACGACTCAAAGAGCTGGAAAAAGAAAAGACCACCCCAAACCCAGCAGAAGTGAAATCAACAAGATCAATCAGAACTAAATGAAATTGAAAATAGGGAAGCTATACAGGAGATTAATAAAATGAAAGTTGATTCTTTGAAAAAATAAACAAAATTGACAAGCCATTGGCTAGGCCCATGAAAAGCAGAAAAGAGAAATATCTAATAAGCTCCATCAGGAACAAAGAAGGAGATATCACAACTGATCCCAAGGAGATACAAAGATATAATTTACGAATACTCAAAAATCATTATGTGCACAAACTGGAAAATGTGGAGGAAATGGACAAATTCTAGAAACACACGCTCCCTAGGCTCAACCAGGAAGAAATAGAATTCCTGAACACACCAATCTCAAGAGCTGAAATAGAACAGCAAAAAATCTCCTAAATAGAAAGTTGTAGTCCAGATGGTTTTACACCCAAATTTACCACGCTTACAAAGAAGAACTGGTGCCTATCTTGCAGAATAATTCCAAACATCGAGAAGAATGAAGAACCTCCCAACACCTTTTATGAAGCGAATATTACTCTGATACCAAACCAGGAGAAGGATGCAACAAAAAAGAAAAACTACAGACCATATTCCCAATGAATATAGTTGCAAAATTTTCAACAAAATCCTAGCTAACTGAATCAGACGCTTATCAAAAAAATAATCCTCATGACCAAGTGGGCTTCATCCCAGGATGCAGGGATGTTAACATATGTAAATCTATAATACAATTCACCACATAAACAGAAGCAAAAGCAAAGACCACATGATTCTTTCAATAGATGCAGAAAAGGCTTTTGACAAAATTCAACACCCTTTCATGATACGAACACTTAAGAAAATAGCATAGAAGGGATCTAAAAAATGATACAAGCCATTATGACAGACCCATAGCCAACATCATACTGAATGGGAAAATTGAAATCATTCCACTTGAAACTGGAACCAGACAAGGCTGCCCACTATCTCCACTTCTATTCAACATAGTGCTGGAAGTCCTGGCTACAGAATCAGACAGGAAAGTGGAATTAAAGGCTCCAAATAGGGCAGAAGGATCAAACTTCACTGTTTGCTGATGATATGATATAATATTTAGAAAACCCAAAGATTCAACCAAGAAACTCCTGGAACTGATCAATGAATTTAGTAAAGTCTCAGGATACAAAATCAATACACAGAAATCAGAGGCATTCATATACGCAAAACAATCTAATTGGAGACCAAATCAAAGGCTCCAATTCCCTTCACAATAGCAACAAAGAATTAAAGTACCTAGGATATACTTAACCAAGGAGGTAAAAGACCTCTACAGGGAGAAACTATGAAACACTGAGAAGAAATAGCAGAGGATGTAAACAGATGGAAATCCATACCATGCTCGTGGATTGGCAGACTCAACATCATTAAAATGTCTATACTACCCAAACTTATCTACAGATTCAAGCCAATACCTATTCAAATCCCATCCTCGTTCTTCACAGATACAGAAAAAAATAATTGTATGGTTTGTATAGAACCAAAGAAGACCCCACATATTAAAAGCAATTCTAGGCAACAAAAACAAAATGGGAGGTATTAATATGCCAGATATCAAACTATACTACAAAGCTGTAGTAATTAAATCAATATGGTATTGGCACAAAAATAGGAGTATTGACCAGTGGAACAGATCTGAGAATCCTGATATAAAACCATCCTCATGTAGCCATCTAATCTTGACAAAGCAGACAAAAACATATGCTGGGAAAAGAATCCTTTTCATAAATGGTGCTGGGAAAACTGGATAGCCACTTATAGAAGCTGAAGCAGGACCTTTCCACTCTCACAAAATCAACTCACACTGGATAACAGACTTAACCTAAAGTATGAAACATTTGAATTCTAGAGAAAATGTTGAAACACTCCTAGACATCGGCCTAAGCAAACAATTTATGAAGAAGTCCCCAAAGGCAATCACAGCAGCAACAAAAATAAATAAATAGGACATGATCAAACTAAAAAGCTTCTGCACAGCCAAAGAAATAGTCATGAAAGTAAACAGACAACCTATAGAATGGGAGAAAATTTTTGCATCCTACGCATCTGATAAGGGGCTGATAACTAGAATCTACGTAGAACTCATGAAAATCAGCAAGAAAAAATCAAATAACCCTATCAAAAAGCGGGCAAAGGACTTGAACAGAAACTTTTCTAAAGAAGACAGAAGAATGGCCAAAAAACATATGAAAAAATGCTCAACATCTCTAATCATCAGGGAAATGCAAATCAAAACCACAATGAGATATCACTTAGCTCCAGTGAGAATGGCCTTTATCAAAAAGTCCCCAAATAATAAATGCTGGCAGAGATGTGGAGAGAGAGGAACACTCCTACACTGCTGGTGGGACTGCAAACTAGTTCAACCACTGTGGAGAGCAATATGGAGATACCTTAAAGCGATGCAAATGGACCTACCATTTGATCCAGTAATCCCATTACTGGACATCTACCCAAAAGATCCAATGACATTCTACAAAAAAGACACCTGCACTCAAATGTTTATAGCAGCACAATTCATAATCGCAAGGCTGTGGAAACAGCCCAAGTGCCCATCAATCCAAGAGTGGATTAATAAAATGTGGTATATGTATACCATGGAGTGCTCTTCAGCTCTAAGAAACAATGCTGGTATAGCATATCTTGTATTTTCCTAGTAAGAGCTGGAACCCATACTACTAAGTGAAGTATCCCAAGAATGGAAAAACAAGCACCACATATACTCACCAACAAATTGTTATTAACTGAGCAGCACCTACTAAGTGGACACATAAGAGCTACAGTAATAGGGTATTAGGCAGGGGGAGGGGGAGGGGGGTGTATACATACATAATGAGTGAGATATGCACCATCTGGGATGGTCACGCTGGAAACTCAGACTTGTGGGGGAGAGAGAAAGGCATTTTTGAACCTTAAAAAAAATTATATATATATTATAATATATATAGTATATATATTGACTATGAGGGTAGCTCAGATCACCACTCATTGCAAGGAAGAGATTTGATTAATGTAAGACTGAGAACATCCTTGGAACAGGTGACAGTGTGTGGAGCTTTCAAAATGATGAGACAAGTTAAGAGCATTTTTGGTCTGATATTACTTTGCAGGCACTTTTAGCTGATTTTTTGGGTATTTGCTCTCTTTATATTTGTCTCCTCGAAGTAGGCTCCTGGAATATTGCATCATCTTTTTCTCCATCGTGAAAATGTCAGTGGTCTATATTGAACTGCATGTTGCTTGCATAAACTTTTTCCTCATAGAAGCCTGAGAGGAGTCGGGGTCTTCCCTCTGAAGGTTGTAGGCATAGTAGCCATCAAGTCTGGAGACCCTAAGTGAGTTAGATATTTGTGGATTAGACCACAGCTCTACTGCCACTCTTAAATGTGCTTGCCTCTATAATTGATGGGCCTGGCAGCCTGAGAATTACATTTCCCAATGCTTGACAGCTGGTTTCTGGTTAAGTTATTTCAGTATGAGGCATTGGCAGGACATTAGAAGGTGAGAGAAGCTATTTCCTTCCTTTTTGCTTTTGGCTCTGACACCAATGTCAGCAGTTCCCTCTGCAGCCTCACCAGCTTGTGGGTAGTCAGTACTGCCCACATGGAGGGGATCATATTGTACATATTTTGTGGTTCTCTCTGTGGCAAATTATCCATTGTCCACCCCTTTTAGAAGACAATTCTTCTACTCAGAATTCTTGCTAGCTCTCTCACAGTATATCCTCCCAACTTTGTTCCTACACATACCAATCGGAGCCTAGGGAGATGCATTCTGAGGCCTCCAGGTTGCATTCCGTCCTGTCTGAGAGGTCCACTTCATTCCTCAGGATGCTTCCAACAGGAGCTGTCAATCTCCCTCTCCTCCTCTGCACCACTCTCTGTGCTATACTTTCTTCTCAAGTGTGATGTCAGCATGATCCTTAAAAACCTAACTTAGATCATATCGTTCCTTTAAAACAACATCCCCTGATAGCACCTCCTTTCACTCACAGTAAAAGCCAAAATCCCAACAATGGCTTCTGTACGAGCTGCCCAGCTTTCTCCTTTGTTACCTCTCAGACTTGATTTCTTATGCTTTTTCCATCCATCACTTTGCTGTTTGCTGTTCCTCAAACATGCCCGGCACAATACTGCCTTAAGAGCTTGTTCCACCTTGCCCCAGATTCCTCATGGCTTACCCCCCATTGGTCACTCCCTCACCTGGTTCATGTGAATCAGGGGCCATCTCATTAGGGCGACGCTGCCCCCTTACCTCTGCCTTCCAACATAGGCTCCTTTCTCTACGCTGTGACTGCCCATGACATTTGCTATGTTCTAGCATATTATAAAATTTAGTAAAAGTTAGTTAAATTCAAATTGAATTGAATTTGCTGAATATTTTATAAAAATAAGCTACTCACAATTCTAGCATTCAGTGTCTCTCTAGTTGCCAGGATTAAGAACTGTTATCGCACTTTCTTTATGTTTTTTCAGCAATCCCAACCACAGGTAGATAACCAGGAGAAATCTTTGCACACATAAAAGGAGAGGCATGTATAAGAATGATTGTAGCAGCACTCTTCACAAAATGAAAACATGGAAGAAGTTGAAACAGGTGAGTAAATGAATAAAATGTTGTATGGTCAGTCAATAATGCAAGATTATATGGCAAAGTGAATGAATTAGTATGGCATACAAAAGTATCACTAGATCTTAGTAAGAAAACATATTATTTAAAAAGAGAAATTTGATTCTTAAGTACTATAAAATTTTTATCAACTAACAAGCTCAACAGAATAATTCAATAATTTCTGAATACTATCAGGACTACAAATTGGAACAAAAATAAGAATAAGAAAGTGAATCCTCAATAGTTCTAAAAAAAAGGGCTTTGTTAGGGAAGATCTATTTCATTCATTTAGAGGAAAAGGTGATCTTCCCTTATCAAGCTCTTAAGCTTCTAAATGCCTTCAGTACAAATCAGAGTCTACCATCAACAAGGATGGAGGCATAAAACAAAAAAGTCATGGCATGTAAACATAGTAAGTTTTAAGCAGGGATGTGGCTGCACCACCTCTTGGCAAGTAGCCTGTGGCTGCCAAATTCTGGGCATAGGGAGGAAGGATAATATAGTACAGAGATGACCAAAAATTATAGCTATCACCTATTCTATAACATATCACATATTTGTTTGAGGGCAAAAGGCAAGAGACTTTGAGAAGCATTTTTCTGGGCCTGAACATCTATTGGTTGTATTGAACCAGTATTGAGTATTGACTCCCCAGTGGCAGAAATGTCCATGTGATTTTTATAAAACATCTCAGTCTGTGTGTGTGTGTGTGTGTGTGTGTGTGTGTGTGTGTGTGTGTGTGTGTGTGTATTTGTGTGGGTGGGTGGGAGAGTCTGATAGTTTGATATATGGGATTTTCTTGTCTTTGTTTAACGATAATAATGCCTGAACATAAGTCTGCACAAATCCAATTAGCTATATTCTAATTGTATCAGTAAATGATAGGATAAAGACAGGATCTTCTTTAGGGATTTTTTCCCCATTTCTTTCAATAGGAAGGAAAGTATATGCCAAGGAACAAAGGGACCATTACACAAAGTGAGGCTGTTTTTCTATCCTATTCCAATTTTATCTAAATACACACTTAACAAGCTTATTCAAATGTGTTTGTGTATTTGTGTGATGGTCTCTGAGAGACCCTAGAAAAAACTAAATGATTGGAAGCAAGTATATGTCATGGCCCTCTTTGGGAACCATGTTTTTATAGTAAAATATGATGGAATACAGGAAGTTGGTGATAAAAAAATTATTTAATATAACAATAGTCTTAGGGCATCCATAAGTTATCTTTTAAATAGTAGCCTATGGCTGAGCTGCATATCAGAATACGGTGACCTTTGTGCTTGGGGTTGTTGCCATTATCTTGTTGCTAAGGTTAAGTAACAGGTATGCCACTTTTCTCAACACTATATATATTTCCACATCTAATCCATGATGAAACAGACCCAACGAATTGAGATTAAACATTTAATGAGGTATTTTAATTAATATATATTTTAGTACCCTGTGTTTTCAGTCAATATAGAACTACATGAAGTCATTGGTGAAGGTAGCTTCAGGCAAATTACAAGGTATCTCTAAAAAAATCAAATTTTTGAGAGCAATACTTTAATTTTCCCCAAAATTCCACTTTGAAATCTCCAATTAACCCTTCTGTTTGACCTCTACTTCAAGAGATGCAAGTATAAAAGCCTTCAAGGCAATGGTTAATTGGATATACACTTTCTAAGTTAGACATTTGGAGAAATACTTTTATATCTAATTCTTTGGAAATAGACATCTATATATAAACATAGCTAAGGTATTTTAGTCAAATTTCTGTATTTCACATTATAAGTAGCTGGCCCTCTTTATGGTTTCCTCTTAAAAAACGATTTTGTAAAATCATATCATTTCACTTAAGAAAAATTATGAATGTTTGTCTCCCATTTTGCAAGATGAATTCATCTTAAAGACACAAGGAGAGGCTAAGAAGTCAACTTTGTTGTGAATTTCTCTCAGGGTTTTTTTCCTTCCTGTTGCTTTTTGGAATGAATAAGTGTGTTGTTCACAGAATTATTAATTGGTATATTGATTTCATTAGAACAAAGAAACCCTGGCTTAAGATTTTACAGAAATGATGGCATAACAAATGTATGTTTTAATACAGCTCCTGCTTTAAAGATAGAAATTATGAGCAAGATACTTTTTTAAAAAGCCAGATTCAGAAAAAATATCTTTGTGGATTAGTAAAAGAAGGAATAAATAAAGTGGTGGTTGTTCCAAGCTAGACTTGGACCAGAGATGGTCTCAAGACTTGAGGCAGGAATGTGGCTGCACCACCTCTTGTTAAGTAGCCCATGGCTACCAAACTCTCAGAGAAAGGATAACACAGAGAAAGGATAATACAATACAGAGAAGGATAATACAATACAGAGATGACCAACAATTATCAGCTGTCACAGAAAATCTGTAACATATCACTGCCACCATGAATCTAGCAAAGTGTGGCATGCAAGAAGGATAGTTATCCTTGGGCAAGGTAACCACCTAATCACTATACAGGAAGAGGTAAGCACAGCACAGGGATACAAAATAATCCAAAAAGTACTACAGGGGTTGAAGTTATAGGGAAACAAAACAAATACAAAGTGAGAATAATGAAAAGGATAGGTGGGACACATAGAAGCACAAAATAAGATGATAAATTTAAAACCAAACATATTGGTTATCACATGAAATGTAAGTTAGTTAAATGCTTCTGTTAGTCTATACTGAAAACTACTTAAATATCTGTCTACAGCAAAATTGAGTAAATTGTAACATAGAAACATAATTGAATATTTTACTTCAAATAAAATAAAATACAACAACCGCATCTATGTACAATAGCATAGATGAACCAAACAAAAAATACTGAGCAACACAGCAAGCCACAAAACAATGTATATAATATATTCTATTGAAATAGAGTTCAAAAGTGGGCCAAATTAAACTATCTAGTGTAGGGATGCATATATAAATGATTAAACTATTTAAAAAGTAAAGATATCATTATCATTAAAGATAGGACAATCATTACCTTTGGGAAAAGGCAAAGTTTGTGATCAGAGCAACACACATCTGGGGAGAGGCTCTGGAATGCTGGCAATGTTCTATTTCTTGTTCTGCAAGTGACTATAGGTTGTTCACTTCATAAATACATGTAAAAATGTACATGCAGGTACTTGTATGACTGAAGCTTATATTTAACAATAAAATGATGCTTTAATCATAAAAGTAGAAAAAAATGAGATAAAAGTGAACTAAAAAAGTAGATACCTCCTATTTAAAAGTATACAAAAACAAATAGCAAAAATTGAAATATAATTTTATGAAAGATGAATATTAAAATTATAATAAAGCACTAACATGGTTCTACTCATGAACTGTAAATAAAATATTGTTCAACATTTAAAATTTATGTCCATAAAAGTAAATATATTACATTGATAAAAAATAAGAAAGGATGAAACAAAAACATAAACAAATGAAGCAGGTTAATGAGAATTTGAAAGTGAACCGATTACATTTCTTACAAATGAAAAATGTGTATTTGAAATTTAAAAATGAGTGAAAGGAATAGGTTTTAATGCATATAAAAGATAGTAAATTTGGATTTAAAATTGGGAAAAATCATAGAAGAATTAAGCATCAAAAGATAAAAACAATTAAAATGGAAAAAATGCCGGTAAGTGGAAGAAAGATAAATTCATAAGCTAATGTTTTTCTAAGAGTAGTTCAGGGACAGAAAATCAAAACAATAGCAAAGAAATGATATAGAGACAGTTAAAACTCAGTGTTTTCAACATAATCCCATTTCTCTGAAAGGCTTGATAATATTGTGGTGTCCAGTATGTTAATAGAGAAAAAACTATACATAGACAGTCACAAGTTGAGAAACTGAACAACAGGGTTAAAAAAAATTAATAATTTTAAACAAATATCAAAGAAAAGAAATATATTAACTAGTAAAATGATAATTAGGAATACTTCAGAGTTTTTACATAACAATTAATGCTGCAAGGTAATGGAACTTAAAAGGTAAGTGGTAGAAAAATAGATTTGGGTGGGGAACAATGGCTCACGCCTGCCTGTAATCCTAGCACCCTAGGATACAGAGCCAGGAGGATCGCTTGAGCTCAAGAGTTCAAGACCAGTCTGAACAAGAAGGTGACCCCATCTCTACTAAAAATAGAAAAAATTAGCTGGTTATGGTGGCCTATGTCTGTGGTTCCAGCTACTCAGGAGGCTGAGGCAAGAGGATTGCTTGAGCCCAGGAGTTTAACCACTGCACCCAACCTGGGCGATGAGTGAAACTCTGAGAAGGAAGGAAGGAAGGAAGGAAGGAAGGAAGGAAGGAAGGAAGGAAGGAAGGAAGGAGAGAGAGAGAGAGAAAGAAAGAAAAGAAGAGAAGAGGAAAAGAAAAGAAAAAAAGAAAAGGAAAAGAAAAGAAAAATTAAAAGAAAATCTAAGATGCCAAGTATTAAACGGGACTTGAATTCAGAATGACCAGCCTATAATTTTTTTGCTTTCAATATTTTGGGTGTCTGGTTAAATAAATAAATAAATACAGTCAGTAAGCCAAAACATTTTTACAAAATGCTCATATCAACCTTTTATACTTGATATAAAACTTTTAGGTTTTTCCTGGAATCTTTCCTGTTTCTAGCATACCTCATTTCTATATATTTGAGGTTTTTATGAATACCATGAGACTTTGAAATAAAAATGTTTTTAATCTCCTCTTTCCTTTAGAGAGTAAAGTGAAAGCTATTCTTAGTAAAATAAACAAATGGAAGAGGACAGAAAAAAAGTATAGGAGACCATAGAGTCAAGGACATTCAAGATTTCTGTCTTCAGCTTATTGTTTCCTTTCTATATCTATTATAATGGCTAATGTTAATTGAGTACTTGCCAAGTACCAGGCAATGTTAAACTCACATTACATGTATTGCCCCCCTTAATATTCTCAGCCCTTTTGTAAGTAAGGTGTTGTTATTATGCTTATTTTATAAATGAAGAAA